AAGCCCACAGACCGTAGGTGACAGCCTATTGAACTCTTCGACCAAGATGCAGTAGAAGTTGGAAGAAAACGTAACTGGAGAACGACAAGAAGCTGCTGCTGACTTGGAATTTTGAGCCTATGGAGCTTCACCTCTAGGACCTACTGACATGTCTCAATTTTAAAGAAAAATTATAGGAGCTGAAAGATAATAAAACTGTATTACTGGGCCATTTACATGAAAAAAGTAAATCAACAAGGACAGAAAAAAAGTTGGAGATGGGGATGAAACTGAAACAGATGAGCCCAACTATATTTCAAGTGAAAATGTAATCACACTGAAAGAAAAATATAACTAATGTAAATAACTTTTGGAGATGGTATTTAAATATATACCTGCCTTTAGGGATAGCGAGAGGAGAGGTATGTCAAGCAAATCCTGATTTTTTAATAGGTCTGACTTTTAAGGTGATGTGATTGAGGCAGTTCTGAATTTATTTTAGATATATTGTAGGGTTGAAAAAAAGGGTAATATTTTGGGGAGCCAAGGCTCCCAGTGGAAAAAAGGAGCTATGGATACAGACTAGGGGAGGCCAAGGGAGTTGATGGAAATTGGAGAAATCTATAAGAACTCACAATTCCTAAATTACGCGTGTGTGTATTCATGTACGTGTTTCTGCTGAAACAGACTAGAAACACGGACTAAGCAAGCACTAAGAAACCTTTGCCTAGACCTAATAGTGCTACTTTCTCGCCTAAAAGGAACCAGGGCCCCTCAGAGAAACCGCTGACTCCTGGGCTGAGGCAAGGAGGGTAAAGATGCATTTGGAATATATTTTTATATCTGAACGTAAGGAAGTGTTCAAAAAATAATTTTTTAAAAAAAGAAAGAAAAGAAAATAGAAAAGTAAATGTCAAGGGGATACAGAAGTGGTTCTCGTTAGCTAAATCTGGGTTGAGTTAAGCATCAGTATAATTAGAGACAATAACCAATTAAGAACAACAGGTGCCAGCACGGATGCAGAGAGAAAGGAACACTTACACACTGTTGGTGGGACTGCAGACTGGTGCAGCTCTGGGGAAGGCAGTATGGAGATTCCTCCAAGAGCTAAAAGTAGATCTACCATTTGATTCTGCAATCATGTTACTACCCATGTAATTACCCAGTGGGGAAAAAGACATCGCGTCATCAAGATACTTAACGCTCAAATGTTACAGCAGCACAATTCATAATTGCAAAGATGTGTAAATAACCCAAGCACCCTTCAATGCAGGAAAGGATTAATAGATTATAGTACATAATATTATTCAGCCTTAAAAACAGATGGAGATTTTGTGACGTTTTTCAACAACCTGGATGGAATTGGAGGCCATTTTCCTAAGAGTATCTCAAAAATGGAAAAACACACATTGCATGTATCCAGCACTAAATTGGAACTAGTAGACTAACCCCTATGTGCTCACATGAGAGGAAAAACTCAGTGAAATTCAACTGGGGTCAGGGAGGAAGGGGTTGGGCAAATTTGCATCCAGCAGGCACATTGCACAGTTCCATGGCGCACTCCTAGCGTTTGGGGCACACATACAGATCATACTGTAACCTTGCAAATGCAAACTATGGAATCAAACTGTTTGTATCTCCACATTAACCTGACAAAACAAAAAAATAGAAGACAGTGTGTTTATGATAAATAGGTAAGTAAAATAAGTAAGTGGGGAAGAAGGACGTGCTCTTGCTCACAGGACAATGATGAGTTCTGACATAACGTGACAAGTCATCGCTTTGTAACCGTCACAGTGATGACTGATTTGGACGAGTCATTAATGTATGCTAAACTAGGAGTCAGTTTTGATGAGAACTGGGGTATTTGCATGTCTTGAAGAACTATTCAGACCCTCTTAGAAATAGCAGGGGAAGCATAGTTACTGGTCAGCAGAGAAACCACACAACAACTGGACAGGATGATCAAAATGAGTGTTACCAGTGAAGGGCACATGGGCCTTGTGTGCCCAAATTGCTTATGAAACTCTGTGACTGGGATTAGGTAACTTGAGCATTACTATGAGAAAACATTAGGCAAACCCAACATAAAGGATCATTCTATTAAAAAAAAAGCAGAGGGCTTAACATATTCAAAAATACCATTGTCTTGAAAGAGAAAGAGAAGCTAAGGAACTGTTCCAGATTAAAGGGGATCAAAGTGATGTGCCAAGTACAATGGGGGACCCTGGGCTTCATTCTGTACCGGAGGGGAAAATGCTATACTAGACGTTATTGGGCCAATTCCTAAAATTAGAATGAGTGGTTAGCTCAGATACAAGCATTGTATCATTGTTTCCGCTTTGCATTATTATAATTAAGGCTGCTATGCACCTTAGTACACCAGTCTTTGCATAGATGTCTGCTTCCGTTTCTTTGGTTAAATACCTAGGAGTGGAACGTCTGGGACATTTTTATATTTAAGTCTTTTAAGAAACTTGCCATGTTAAAGTTAAATTTCCTGAAGTTGCTAATGTTTCCTCTTCTTAGAAATCAACCTGGATGTAGTTAGAAGAGCAGAATGCATGCAACTTAAACTCTCAAAATTTCCAAAAAGATAAATATATATATATATACACACATATATAGCCATACGTATTATATATACCCATGTGTATGTGTATATGGCGAGGAGGGGAAGAGTGGGTGATAAACAAATGAGGTGAATGTTAATGGTTGGCATATCTGGGTAAAGGTGTATCATGTATTTGTCCTTTTCTTGCAATTTTTCTGTAGTCTTCAGATTATCTCCAAATAAAAAGTTAACCTCTCCTGGACGTTCAAGAGCATCTTCTAGATTTTAAAGATGACTGTTCTGCCGTTAGAAGCTGTATGCACTGCTGTGTGTTAACACCCCAGGTTAGACAGCACTGACTCCGGAGCAGCGCCGCGCTGTGTGTCTTCATTTCTGTGCCTCAGAATTGCCTGAAATGGCAGTAGGTTGTCAAGTGAAGTTCTTTTTCTGAATCAGTAGCTAAATTCCCCGAGGTAGATCTCCAGATCTGTGCTTCATCCACATTTCTAGTTTTTAGCGAATATGAAGTATATGGTAGCTCTCAACTGAGTTTGTGGAACCTTCAGCTTTAAAAATGATATTGTGACTGTGGAAATGGTTAGTGTTATGAGCAAAAGAAACCCAGAGAGAGGTTAGATCCCAGTTGTCTTAGCTTCAAAACTATTGAAGCTTGTTGAGTTGAATTGATAATTTTATAATGTGCAGGAGCAAGAGAGATGTCATACATTTCTCATTTCTTCTCAGGTCTACAATTATATTTAAATTTACCCCAGAGGGTTTTGAGATTTTGCAGAGGCTTTTACCAAGCAATGCTTACAGTTTCCTTAGAGATCTTTTAACAGGGTATTCTCCACCACTGACTAACATCTGCACACAGAAGGTGCCAAAAAAAATGTGTACATGATTTAAGAGACATTATCTACGTATTACTTTTCAAAGTTGAGTTGAAGGTGCCGTTAGTGGTCAAGTGCACCCAGATATTCCTGCAAGGTCTCTTAAAATAGGTATACATTTTTTTGGTATACCCCAGTATTTGCTTGTCTTTCTCTGCAGAATTATTTACTAGATGATTTCCCTAAGACCAATTCCAAATTAGGTGCTCAGAATGTTTAGTTTATATGCCACAAACCCTATAGTGTTCAGAGGTAATGTTTTCTGGTCACTCAGTTAACAATACAGAGGCCTTGATGTTCAGACAGACATGAACCTGACAGGCAGACTGTAGACTCTTTGAGCTCCAACCCTCTTGTTCGATGTTTGTTTTCCTTACTTTCAGTGTTAGCTTGTTAGCTGGGGTATTTTCGTAAGACACGTGAGCATGGAAGGCATAGGTGATCTTTTCTTATACTTTATTTCTTATCACCCATCCCTACCTCCCATCCCCAAAATGAGGCTCCAGGAAAATATTTCGTGGTTAATAATTTGGAGGAATGCCTAACGTGACATTCACCTCTGGGGGATTCGGGGTGCTCCTGAATAACATGCTCTGAGAGGAATATTAAAGTTTACCTACCCTTTTAAAAACTTTAACCCAAAGTTAAAATTGACCCTGGAAAAACATATTTTAAGAAATGCTGATTAGCATTGTGAGGAAGGCTAGGACTTGGTGGAAAGCTCTAGTTTAAGAGGAACCGAAGGAGGACTTTATAAGGCATTTCCAAGTGGTGTAAGGTCTTAAAACATAGAAAAAGTGGTCTTTCTTTTCTTTGTGTCTCTTTATGAAGTTATTTCTAGATTCTATTTTCTACAAAATCTTCTCATAAATATAGTTGCAGAATTTTTTTCTGGCAAGCTCATAAGCATTCTGAAATGCCCTTTAAGCTGTTATAGATGGTACTTGGCAAAGGTGGATGGGGCCAAAAGGTATTCAAAGGCATAAAAAGTAGATGTAAGAAGTTCACGGACTGGGGTGGCCTTGTTAGGGACCCTTGAGCACAGCTGTGCCTTGTCATCTAAGGATTTCTAGGAAAGTCTCATCACCCACATTCTCTTCCCACTTGCCAGGTGACCCTCCCCCAACTCATTTGTACCTCAGAAGCTCCTTCTTAGACCATCACTTTTTTTTTTTTTTCTTTAAATACCAAGTCCATCTGAAAAGGTGTGAGCATTGGTTCACACTCACCTGGGAACAGGACTGGTGGAGCTGAGCTCTGCAGCCTGCTGGTGGCCTCCACTTCAGTCACCTGCCGCCAACCCACCCACGTGAGGCAGCCTTGTGCTGGCCGGGGCTTATGAAAACTGGGAAATAAGCCCCTTGTTTCTCTATTCCTCTTCTGTTTCCAGTAATATGTGCTGTTCGTGCTTTTATTTTTGTCTTTTGAAAACTCCCATTTCTTCTATAAATCCCTCTAAATCATTTCAGTGTAGTACTACGTGTTAACGGTGGGATATAAGAACCATAAAATATTTCTCCTAAAACTATATTTGAATTAAATAATTGTGACTTATGTTCCCTTTGGCATCTCAGTATCTCCAGGCTCCAGCGCTTGCTCAGCTGTTACGACCCCCGCGAGCCGGTGTTCCTGGGAGAGCGCTACGGCTACGGGCTGGGCACCGGCGGCTACAGCTACATCACAGGAGGAGGAGGGTAACTATGCTTTCTGCAAGTACTCTGAACAGAACCATCCTTTTCCACTGGAAATGTGGGTTCGTGGCCCTGGGAGCTACACTGGTATTGGAGTGCTCTGTGAAGGGTAACCCTTACTTTCATGGGAAAGTGAACTCTGCATTTGCTAAATATAAAAAGAACTCACAGTAAAGAATATTTCACCCTTTGAAGAAACTATATAAAAATATATATCTGTCTACTTGGTAAAAATGTCCCTGTAATAATGATTGTTTCTAGGTAGACAACTTGTTTTGATTGTTTAAGTGGAAAAGAAAGAAACTGTGGTTATAGATTTTAATTTCATCAAACAAGACATTAGACTTTTAAATTTTCCAGTGCTTAATAAATCACACTTGGGAAAAGAATAGTGTAAAAGCTTAGACTTGGGCAATTAAATGATATTTGTGTAGGATTTATAGGTTTTTAAATAACAGTTAAAAATCAATATTTTTAAATGAAGCATCTGCCTAATCTCCTATGAGAAAAGATTTTAATTTGATTTATATGAGGAAATCAAGTAAGCAGTTGTCTTTTGCATTACTACTGTAGTCTTTATTATTGGAGTATATAGGCAGAATATTAACTTGTTATCAACTATAGTCATTTAAATTCATTCAACAGATGTTTGTTGAATGTCTGCTGTGTGCTGGGGAGCATTCTAGTTTATAATCAGTGGTTATCAACTTCAGAAGGGCTAGGGCCTTATATTTCTACTTCGTAATCCCCTACATTAGACTGGGTCTTCCAGGAACCTGCAGGATTCTCAGTCATATTGCAGAGGCCCTGGTTGGTTCAGGTGAGCATAAGGGGGTGGTGGAGGTGACTCTTCTGTAATTATAACCAAGCCTGCCCGAGGGTTGGCAGCAGGAAATGAGAACCCAGGGAGGCCTATTGCAAAAACACTAGAAGAGTAGGGCCAAAGAATATTTTAAAAAAAAGAGGTTCAAGCTGTTTGCGCCTTACCTTACATTAATGTATTTAGCTTTCTTGGTAAGGAGCTGGGGCTGTTTAAAGATCAGGTCAGGATGTGGCACCCAGTGAGTGAGGTGTTTCCGGTTTTGAAAGGGGCCCTGTTATTTGTGGATGGGTGTGTATATTTTATAGCATGATGGTGTTCAGATAGTACGTTGAACATAGAGTTGACTTTCTGTGTCATTTCTGAAAGCAAACTGTTTGGTTGTCTTCCTAGAGTATTAGATTTAGCTATTATTTCTGAGACCGTCCCTTCAGGCCTTCTGAAACCTTGCTTGACCTTACCTCACCAGCTTTGCCTTTCATGCCTTCAGTTCATTCACCTACTAGAGTATGTTAGGTACCGGGATTGCACAGATGAAAACTAGGTGGCCTCTTCCCTACAGGAACTCACAGGCTAGTGCCAAGATTTGCAGCATTGCCACTGTTCCCCTTCTCATGCCCGTAGAAGGCTCTTCTGAACCACCAAGGTGGCACCTTTAACTTTTGTCTTCAAACTTACCTCACTGCTGGATATTTCCCACCACCTCTAACTTTGCCATCTTAAAACTTCTTCCCTGCACCGTGCCATCTCCTTCCTCCCAGCAGGATGTCTAAAGAGCTCCCTGCTCTCACTGTCTCCGTGCCTCAGCCCCACACTCAGCCTCCTACCTTCACCTACCGCACCAACACCTCCAGTGACCCTGCTGTAGGCAAATCAAATGGATCATTTCCAGTCCTTGTCTTATTTAACCTCCTAGCAGCCTTTGACAGTTGACTGTTCCCTTGAAACGCTCCTTTCTCTTTTCAGAGCACCATCCTGTGCTGGTTCGTTCCTGTCTTTCTCCTCATACGTTCTCAGTTCTTTACCTGTCTCTTTGGCGTCGGTGTCTCTCAGGCATCTTTTCTAGCTTCCCTCCTCTTCTCACTGTGTGTTCTCCCTGGCTGATCTCATCCACCCCCGGGGCTCGATGCTGAAAGCACCCACATGGCCATCTCCAGCCTGGAACTCGTTTCTGACCTGCTTTGCAGATCTACTCCCATGACTCACGGGCACTTCGTCATTTCTCACCTCAGTCCCTGATTTGGTCTTCTTCCAATGCCCCTACCTCAGGGAAGACATCGGCACACGCAGGTTGCTTCCCTGGGAGTCTAGGTCAGCTCTCACGCTTTCCCACCTTTTCCCCTCCTCTGCAATGAACCGAATCACTGGGTCATGTCAGTTTCATCTCCTGATTAGCCCTCCCATCAGTACTTCTCTCCACCTCCAGTACCATCATCCAGGTCACCATCACCTCTTGTGTGTGAATTCCTGCCACAGACTCCTGCTGTCTCTGCTTGTCTTATTCCACAGCACGCCCTTGTCCACACCATAGTCAGGTGCACCTTTCTAGAAGCAGATCTGATCTCCCCTGTCCCATCCTTGGTGCCCCTTAGTGACTTTCCCTGGCCTTTATTTTTCCCATAGGTGTAAACCCTTTCCTACTTTTTGATGTCTAAAATGACAAGATCATCCAGATTTCAACAGAGGTCAAGTTGATCTGGGATTGGGCCTCAGTTTTAATCACCTCTCGTTCATCTAATCATCAGCCTCCCTGGGTGCTGCTGAGGCCCTCCCCTTGGGGCTAGACTGCTCTTTTTCCCCCTGTCCCGGACCCGTTTGCCCCTGAAAGCTGCCACAGCTTGTCAGTCTCCTAGTGAAGATTCTTCTCTCTAGAAATTTGTTCATATAGGCTTTGTGGCATCCACCTCTTTCCCAACAATTCCATACATAAGTAACATTTTTATTTTGCTTGGACTTTTCTCTGCCTATTGTGATATGGAAGTCTTTTGCATCCTTTGATATCCTGACTGTAAATGGAACATCTCCCATTGCCTTTAGGATGAAGTCCACACACCGGCCAAGGCTTACAAGGTGTCTGATGACTTGGCAAAGGCAGTACCATTCTGGCCTCATCCATCCACACCCTCATCTTCAAGAATTCTGCTCAACTTGTTTCTCAGGAGTGCTATTTTTTTTTTCTTCCTCCAAGATATGGCTGGTCTCTACATTGCATACTCTGGCCAGTTCCTCCTGTTCTTTTAGACTTGATATAGCTATCATTTATTTACTCTTGGAAGCCTTCAGCCCAGTCTAGCCTCTCAAGTCTGGGTTTAGTGTGTTCCTGATGTGCTTTTGTAGCATGTTGTGTAAACTGTTGTCATGTAATTGCCCATTTATTGCCCTGTCTTGCACTTAAGTTAGGCTTTATCTGAAGGCAGCACTTCTGTTTCATTCCTCAGTATCTACCGCCTTCCAAGCATAGGGACTCATTTTTCTTCAAGGTACAGTGAATAAATGAACAAACACAAGCAACGGGCGATAACTTCACACAACTGACATCAACCAATGAGACGTTCTGCTTTTAATATTTGATAGCACTTTTACAAAATTTGAGAACATTCTCCATAAAATTGTCTCTTATATCAACCTTTGTTAAAGGCATCAGACTTAGTGTTGAAAGGTTTCTCTGCTATTACAAGAGAATTTTCTGATGCTCTAGCTTGAAGAACCACACAGTAGCTTATAAAACCAAGTCATAGACCATAACCAGCATTTTAAAATAATTCAGTGTTGAGTGAAATAGAATAAAATGTCAAGTATCAGTGCATTCCATGTCGTAAGGGTAAATATTGTTCTGTGAAATTTTTGTGTCAGTTTTATATGTACACACATATACTCACACACAAAAACATACAAAAATCGTTGCAATGTGAAATGTATTTCTTGTTTTCTGGCTGTGGGTTGCAGTCAAGTTTTTGAAAACCACCATCCTTTTCAGGTCCCACTTGTCAGAGCCAAGTCAGAGCATGGGCTCCAGTCCTTTATGTACAGGTATCTGTGTTGTCTGGAAAGAGAGACCTTTGCACTGTTTGAATCCAGGTGTCTCTTTTATAGTTTGTTGCTTACTCTATGAAAATTTGGGTATTTGGAGAAAATTAATTGAATGATTGTTTCCTTATGAAAATACCTATTTACATACATGAGTTTGGGTAGGAAGTTATGCTCAAGGTACCTCTTTAGCAGTTGCGGGGGCAAATGAGTGCACTGAAGTAGTGCGGGGGCTGGTGTCCTTGGATGAGGCCACAACTTACACAGAGACAGCCCCGAGCTGTTCATCCAGTGAAGACCCAGAGAGGGTGGGTATTTCTCCCCACGGTACCTTCTTCATGTCTTCCTTATCTTGGAGTATGTTCTTGAGCAAGTCCCAGCCTCCTATTTAAGTTTTATTAAAGATTTGCATATTGTATGTTAAGGGAAATCAAGTCATTAATCAGGTAGCTGTTCAACACCTTTTTAACATTTAAAAGTTGGTGGACAGAGCAGACCAGTGTTCTTTTTTGCTTTTCTGCCATAACATAACTGGTAAATTTTCCATTTGGGGGAGGAATTTCATTTGGAAAGAAGCTCTCAACAAACTAACTAATAAGTGTTATTAAAGGCTCGTGTGCACTTTGTTTATGTGAATAATTAATGTAAGTCTGTTCTGTGAGAGTAGGCAAAGTAAAAAATAATTACTAATTACAGTTAGTAAAATTAGTTTTCACAGAGAGCAAGGATCAACATAAAAGTCCTCCTTTACCTTCTCGCTGTAGTAGATGGCTGGCAAAAAGAGAAGAGAGCATTCTTATTGTTGACTGTCAGGGCACATCCCCCCACGTAGGCCCTTCTCCTGGGTCAGCAGGGCAGTCAAGCCCCGCATGGCCGACCGACCGGGTGCAGGAGGTGCAAGATGTATGGCCCAGGAGGTTTCCACGGAGACAGCAGGCTTTCTAAGTGAAAGGCAATTTGTGGTGGCTTTTCAAACTCGTGGCTTTCCTTTTTGTATAGTTGACGAAACTTTTTGTACAGTCTATTTCCTTGTATCATCTCAAGGAAAGAGCTTCTTTTTTCTCTTGTCTAGTCAGGGGCTGAGAGCGAGCCTTCGGTGCTGCTGTGTTCTCAGTCATTGGTCAGTAGCACTGGGTACACCACACTGAACCCACCCCTCCTAGCTAAATGTGGACTCCATGGTTTTAGATCTGGGATTGTGTTCAAGCTCTTTGTCCTTTTTCCCTTCCCTCTAGACTGATGGATAAAATGGTTGCTTCCTTCGCGAAGAAGAATGCAAGATAGCTTCATTCTTGCTGGCTTGATATATCAAGCTTTTATGTAGTGCTTGCTGTGTGCAAGGCCGTGTTTGGCGATGGAAGTATATTGATGAATTTTAAATAGTCTTGCCTTGAAGAAAGTCTTTGAGACTGAACTTGTGTGCCACGTTAGCCCCTTCCTCCTTTTCAGATTTTGGGCTATGCATGATATGGAGAGATTCATTTCTACCATAGGACCAGAATGGAAACCAGAAATCAACCTATATTTTAAGAAGAGGAAAATTTATTGTGGGAACTTGATATGAAAGTATTGGAAAGGGCCATAAAATTAAAAGAGAACCTAGTGATCAGTAACTCTAGAGAGCTGCTCTCACTAGGGCAGGAGAAGAGAGCGAGTACTGTTCCGGGGCACCCTTGTGTAGCGTTGCTGCAGCCGCTGCTGCGGGGGGCCGTAGCCCTGCGTCTGAGCTGGACACAGGAACGGGCACCCCACATGCTCTGCTGCTCAGTGCTGCCTCTGCGGGGCCCTGTGACTGCCTCTACCATCTGCCTCTGCCCTAGAGACCACCAGTGCCAGAAACAGAGGGCCTCCCCCAGTGTTGAGCCCCTCGTCAGATCAAACCAGGACCCAGCTGGCAAGGGAGGCTGGAAAAGTTTGTTTGAAAGTTTCTAGCCTTCTGCAGTGCTGAGGAGAGCACAGAGAGGATGGAATGGACCAGGGTCACACCAGAGAGTGCCTGGCATGCCAAATGGTGCTATGACACTGTTTCATAGAAAAAAAAGTCCTGTACTCATGGACTCCCCTTCTTCTGCTCTCACTGTCTCTATCAAAATTATCTTGAGGAAGCATCTATAGATTGGAATTAATTGCACACTGGGTGTCTTTTTCAGTTGGATTTGATCTTATTGTCAGTCGTGACAGATATGAGTAAGATACCTAGTATTTTAGGGCCTATTTGCCTGATGGGAATGTTGGCAGATTTTGTTACTGATCTCATTGAGGGCTTCAAAACTAAAGAACTATTCTCATTTTCTATAAACAGCTCTTAAAATTGAGATTTGTTAGAGGATACAAAATTATAGCTGGATAGGAGGAATAAGTTCTAGTTTTATACCACTCTAGGGTGACTATAGTTAACAATAATATATTTGATTATATCCTCAAAAGGAAGCTACTGAATGTTCCCAGCACAGAGGATAAATGTTTGAGATGATAAATATGCTGATTACCCTGATCTAATCACTTGTATGTGTGTATGTATATATATATGTATATATACATTATATATATATTTTTTTTTTTTTTTGGAAACAGTCTCATTATGTTGCCCTTGCTGTGGTGTCACAGCTCAACAGCAATCTCCAGCTCTTGGGCTTAAGTGAGTCTCTTGCCTCAGCCTCCCAAGTAGTTGGGACTACAGGTGCCTGCCGTAATGCCCAGCTGTTTTTTGTTGCTGTTGTCATAGCCACTGGCGCCATAACCACTGTGCTACAGCCACTGACCCAGATCACTTGTATATTTTATGTATCAAAACATCACCATGTGTCCCATGAACATGTACAATTATTTTTTATTAATTAAAAGAATTTCAAAATTCTATACATTTTAAAAAAGGGATTTTACTCCCATGGAAAGCACAAGAACATTTTCTCCAAAGTAACTATTAAACGTAAAAGGCTACCGCTGTCAGCATCTTTCAGTTGTATCAGGCAGGCAGCCTCTGAACTACAGTTCTTTGTTCGCAGTCAGGGTCTCTGTGGAGCTGCAATAGCTAACTCCTTTCTCTGTCTGCTCTGGATCCCACCAGAATGGTCTTCAGCAGAGAAGCCATCCGGAGACTTCTTGCCAGCAAGTGTCGATGCTACAGCAATGATGCTCCCGATGACATGGTCCTGGGAATGTGCTTTAGTGGGCTGGGAATTCCTGTGACACACAGCCCTCTCTTCCATCAGGTGAGAAAATGTCCTGCCTCGTAGGGATTGGGGGCCATGTTCTTCCCTTTCTCCCTTAAGGATTCTACTTCTTTCTCTTCGTGTATTCTGGAACAGTCCTAACAACTGTGTTGACAGCCTCCAGAGGACGTCCTGAACAGACCCTTCCTATCCTCTCTGAGGTGCATGCTGCACCTGTCCATCAGAGAGATGGAAGGCAAAAGGTCTCTAAAACCAAGTGATGTCTGACAGAAGTGTCTTCCTGTGAATGGCCGGTGAAAAACTGCTCTTTAAAAAAAATCTTGTCAGTTAAAAAAATTGACATTTAAAAATTATTGGATGCCATCTAGAAATATACAGGACTACTTGACCTATATATTATCCTACTTGACCACCATGCATATGTAATTCTACACTGGCCCCAGTTTTTATACTGTCCGTCTGGCAGTCTTTTTACTGGGCTTTTCTCCCTTTGGTTGCTATTAAACCGAGGGGCTAAAAATCTGTCAAATTCAGTATAATATCTGAATAAACTTATATTCTAGGGGTTATGAGAAAGGAGAGATGAGATGATGTTCGCCAGGAATACCTAGTACTTACAGCCTTACCATATTGCAGTTCAGGGGTTAGAGGAGGAAATCCTTCTGTGTGATTTTTAGTATGTTTTAAGAAGCAGGTCAGTGAATTTTCTTCTAAGAATAATAGTGGATATACAGAAACTGAAAATAACCATAGACCCACTTCCCTCTAATGTCTTCCTTTAAGAAATTTAAATCTTTTCAAATTTGAAATGTATAAATGCGTGTGTAATTTAAAGGCCCTCCCTTATATGGGAAATACAGTCTTCATGCTTTATTTAGTAACCATTAACAAATGCTATTATAGCAATTTAGAGAATTTAGCATGACAGAAATAGTACTCTAGAAAACAACTTGAACAGGAAAAAGTGCTTGCCTTATCAGGAAAGGAGGAATCCATTTCTATGTTCTGGAGGCAATAAGGGAGAATAAAAATACACAAAAAGAAATGTGTAAGAAACCTTCCTAGTACCAGTAGGAAGGCATTTATCCATCCTTACCCATGGGGGCTCCTTTAAAACCTTGGGAGCCCTTAAACCACGTTAAGCCCATGTGTTATGTTTGATGACTTTGAAAATCAAGATCATGTCTATCAGTCCCTCTCTTGTTCTATATTAGGGCTTTCCACTCATTAACAAAAAGTAATTAGAACTAAGTATATCATGGAGTACTAATCAGCCATAAAAAAAATAGTGAAGACCTGGTATCTTTTGTAACAACCTGGATGGAACTGGAGGCCATTCTTCTAAGTGAAGTATTGCAAGAATGGAAAAACAAACACCACATGTACTCAATACTAAATTATAACTAGTTGGTCAGCATTTAAGGTGCACATACAGTGGAAATCAAGTGGGGGTGTGGAGGTGGGGATGGGTAACTTCACACCTAATGGGTACAATATAGCGTGCACTATATGGGTGGAGCACACACAACCTTGACTCAAAGGGTTACAAAAAGATTATATGTAAACAAAATGTTTATACCCATGTAATATTCTGGAATGAAAACTATAATAACCAAGCTGTATATGTGGTAAAAAAATAATGTAAAATTAAAGCTTATATAATGAGTGAAGACTGAGGGAATAAGGGAAATAATTTATCAAGGTTATATGATAGGTCTTAGATTTTTATAGATTTTATATCCCTTCTCTCAGGGAAGAATATATTAGGAAATAAAATGATAAGGAGAAAAAAAAGAAGGAAAATCATCTAATTCTTAAGCAGAAGTTCTTTGAAGATCATTAAAAAATTTAAAAGAAGGTTACTATTTCCCACACTTTAGAACTATTGATTTCTTTAATTCATGTAAATTGTAAACACTTCTAAATATCATAAAATGTTTAAAACCTATCCTCCCCAATAGATAGTGCTTTGTTTTCTAATTCTTAAGCTTCTTCTAGAGAGTTTGGTATGATTTGGACAATACTTTTCAATGTTTAAACACTGATCTAAACAGTGTATTTGTTATATTGACAAAGAAATAGGAGACAGAGAGATACAATTTAAGATTCTTAATGTGCTGGAGAGAGAGCATTTGGAAACAGTCTCAAATACAAAGTTGCTTGGGCCATATTTAAACTATTTTTCATCATGGTAGGTTATCTTCAGTCCATAGATTTAGAAGTAGACTCCAAGTTAACAGCAAGTTATCAGGAGCATGTGATTATCTGTTCTTCCACAATTAAGTGGCACTAATAGATAGGGCAGCATGCAATGGTTGCTGGTTACCCAACCCTGGAAATTTGCTAAAGAGTTTGAGAGCACCATGATGTTGGGTCAGCTGTATGGCATGTAAATCATTTCCCAATATAGCTATAAAACTGTATTTGTCTAAGGAAATGAAATTGTACTCTCCATTTGTTGCCCTGTTCAGCATGCTCTAATCTTTAGAGATACATTTTAATTTTGTCCAATGTATGTCTATATTATGCAGAAGAGGTTTTAATTTTGCTTAACGTGTGTCTGTCTTACACGTTTTAAGCCATCTTCCTACCTGTGTGCAGCTGCCCAGCACACTCACCGTCCGGTCCTTGAGTTCTCCCACTCCTGACCCAGCCTGTTTGGGATTTGCTTTTGGCATTTTAGGTACAGAAATGTGCTTCTTAGAAGCTATATGTGTTGGTGTTACAGACACCTCTTGGAAATGTATTTCACTTTTCTAGTTTTGTGTAATGCTTTTCCATGACCTCATTTATCAAAAATACCTGGCACATTCTAATACTTAATAAGCCAACTCTTTCCACATACTTGGGTTTTCTGAGATGCAGTTAATGTTAAGGATATATATTTTTTCCTGTTAGATGGATTTGTATCACCAAAAGTTTATTTTTAAATGTGAAAAGCAAGCAAAGGTTTGGTTCTGGTGCTCTCATAGCAGGCCCTCTTCTCCATGGGTGATATATCCCAGGACCTCCAGTGGATCCCCGAGACCACAGTGTCAAACTTTACATGTGCTGTGTTTTTCCTTATAACATACACACCTATGGTCAGGTTTGATACAGAAAGTAGGCACAGTAAGAGATTAACAACAATAATTCATAATATAGCACAACTGTAGCTTTGGGGCCATCCAACAGTCCCATTCTAATGAGGGGGGCAGGGTCTGACCCCACTGATGATTTGTTTTCAATGTACAGTTGTCCATCTTAACCAGATGTGCAAAATACACTTCAGTGGTATTGGTTCCTGCCCTGCCTTTAGTGTATGACTGATAATAATGTAATATAAGGGTTACTTGAAGCCAGGCACCGTGTGGATCTGACAAGGAGGTAGCACCTGATGAGCAAGCCGTGGGCAGGGGCACGGACACATGGCCACACTGGACTAAGGAGAGAGTCACGTTCCCTGGGAGATGAACCAGGACAGCACCAGAGTTCATCCCCATGCTCAGTAGTGTGCAATTTATAACTTAGGAATTATGTACTTCTGGAATTTTCATCTAATATTTTCAGACCAGGGTGGGCCAAGGGACCCTAAAACTACAGAAAGTTAAACTGCAGGTAAGGGGGAACTACTGGATTTCTTTCTTCTGAGAGCATTGTAGAATTATCTGAGAACTGAACTGAGAGTATTTTCTCCTTGGTTTTTGTCCTTGCCAATAAACTCTCAAACTTGCAGGTAACCTCATATTATATATGAATTCCCTCCACTAATACCATGTTTCTCCAAAAAATAACACACTGTCTTATATTTATTTTTTCTCAAGAAGACACAGTAGGGCTTATTTTCAGGGGATTTTTTTTTTTTTTTTTTTTTTTTTTTTTGCAGTTTTTGGCTGGGGCTGGGTTTGAACCCTCCACCTCTAGCATATGTGGCCAATGCCCTACTCCTTTGAGCCACGGGCACCACCTGGGATGTCTTATTTTTATTAAGTATAATACAACAGTCTATTCAAATACAGTTTGAATATCAATTCAGACTATCAATTTATTCAAATACAGTTAAGTCATCCTCTTCTGGAACCTGACAAGGGGAGCCAACTTGTTGGTGGGGCTGGCGCTAATGATGCATGAACTTTCCCCTAGCCATTCCGCACGTGTACAATAGGATGCCTGCGATGGCAGTTACCACACTCGCACCCTGGCAAGTGCGAACAGCTCAGAGAAAGGAGCTGTGGCAGATAAAAGGTATTCCAGTCTTCCTTACCACTCCACCCGGAAATGCATGGCATGGCTATGCAGATATGCTGCATAGCCACGCCCATCACTAGGTCTTATTATCCGGGTAGGGCTTATATTTAACAAATGCATAGAAATCCTGCTAGGGCTTATTTTTTGGGTAGGTCTTATTTTCGGGGAAACATGGTATTCAAACTTTTCCCAACTCAATTAGACTGTATTCCAGTATGTATCTTTTTTTTTTGCAGTTTTTGGCCAGGCTGGGTTTGAACCGCTACCTCCAGTATATGGTGCTGGCACACTACTCCTTTCAGCCATAGACGCCGCCCCCCAATACGTATCTTTTATCTGTCCCACTAACTTTCCTTCTAAAATTCCCTGCTTAGCATTTTTTTTTTTAATTGTTGGGGATTCATTGAGGGTACATAGAACCAGGTTACATTGATTGTTTTTTTTTTAGATAAGGCCCTTCTTAGACTTTTTAACTCCATGAGCACTTAGAATTTTTAAAGGGCAATAAAATAGCAATTGTGAAAGTTCTCCCCCTGCATTATTTTGAACTTCTCCCCACAAATGTTATTGTTTGAACACTCATCTGAGCAGTATATTTGTGCCAGTGAGTCCAGGATAGTCTAGGTGCTGTCAGGTGTGCCCAGCTGGTGGTATGGTGGTGGCTTGAACCCAGGTAGCAGATATCCTATGGAACTCTGGCCAGGAGGCTGGGCACCTCTCTCTTATCTCCATTCCAGCGTCTGCTGTTCATGTTACTTCTGGGAACTCTGGTTTCCTTATCATTAAATTAGGAATGGACCATAAAATTCTGTTTTGCAAGGTTGTTTCAAGGATTAAATGACATAAATTTTAACAAAGGTATTTGGTAAACCATTTGAGGGAGTTTATTTAAATATTTATATCAAAGACTTAAGCAGAATATAATAACATTAGCCTAGAGAAGACTTGTTTTTAAAATGTATGGTATCTAGTTTTAATACTCAAGACAACTTTAGTCATTCATGACCCATCGAGTTACTATGTAAAACTGTATGGCTAATACAAATTTATAAACAAATTAAGATGAACATTGAAAGAAAATGGGTGCTTTGCTTTGAGCAAACAAAATAGTATCTAGTTACAGAGTCCTTCTAACCCTGTAGGTTACTTTTTCAATCTCATCATTCTAGGCTGTATCTAATTCTGCCTAAATTTCATTTTCTGAGTTCTGGAGAATTTTTAAATGCAGATAATACAAAAACTTTTTATGTCCTTTTGCAAACTGTTTCGGGTTACTCACAAGTCCCATTCACACTTCTGGAAGCAGAGTAGATATTGAGGTAGGAAAAGAGCATGGGTGACATTACCCCCTTTCTCTATTGAACCCCATGTTTTCTTTCTTTGAAGGGCTCCCCATAATTACTCATTCGCAGGCATCCTCAAACTACGGCCCGCAGCCCACCTAGGACATTTATCCAGCTCGCCAGGTGTTTTGCCACTGCTACATATCCTGCTTAGCAGCTGACTCGTTCTGGGGCCTGCAGTCTGGCCCTCCAACGCCCTGAGGGACAGTGAACTGGTCCCCTGTTTGAAAAATTTGAGGACCCCTGCAGAGCATTAGACAGGCCAAGGGAACTCTGAGAACTCCTTGCCCTAGCCCCGCGCCCCCGACCCCTACAACCAGTTGCATGTGGCCAGAGTTTCTTTAAAGTTTGCTTGGGACATAACTATTTTTCAGTTTTGTGCACAAGTCATAATAATGACTTAAATGATTTATCAAGTAAAGCTCTTCATATTTATTATTATGGTTGAGGAATCTCCCAGAGGCCAGACAATGGGACAATAGAAGCCAAGAGCAGCGTATTCATATTAAGGTATTTGGAGACACAGAAGCAAAGAACCTAGAGTTCGAGGGAAGACAGTTGAAAAGTTTTTCCTTTTTGCTTTTAGATTTCCACCTAAAGTGGTACTTTTTTTAGAACTAACGTCAAATAGTGAAAAAAATTCTTTATAAATTCAAATGTTTTTCAGCAGAGCTATTTTCAGTTAATGAGAGAGCCTAACTCTGTTCTTCTTCCTCCAGGCTCGGCCAGTGGATTACCCCAAGGACTACCTGTCTCATCAGGTTCCCATATCGTTCCACAAACACTGGAACATTGACCCCGTGAAGGTGTATTTCACGTGGCTGGCTCCCAGTGACAAAGACGAAGCTGAGCAGGAGACACAGAAGGGTTTTAGGGAAGAGCTATAGAGCACGGTGGCCTGTGAGCACGGTTTGGACAGGAAACAGGAGACTGTCTCATCGTTCGACTCTGCCAGGCTCATACTGCCCATGTCTACCATGTGGCATCGGACTCTTCCCGACTTTAGATGGAAATTGTGTATATGGTATTATTGGATGGGGGATGAAAAAGAGTCATAAGGAAAACATTTTCTTTTTTTTTTTTTTTCCCTGAGAAAAAGCACTTGCTTTTGAGTTGTGCAGTCGTAACACATGGTGATTACTGTGCATTTTTCAAGCTGTGATGCAGCAACGTTACAACTCTCACAGGAACATAAATGGTACTGGGAGTTCTCTCCCTGTTCTTCCTCTTCATTATAATGGAAGTTTGAGACGGGCATGAGCCTGGAGATATGTTACTTTCTGATGTTCTATAGACATATAGAGAAGAATGAAAGTCGTTGGCGTGGATATTGCCAGTGGGATGGACTTTTAAACCATATTATTGATGATGAAAATTTATTTCCTGGGAACTCAATAGGAATAATGCTATATTAAGGGTCCTTCATAAAACATCATAAAAGGCTAGATAAGAAATCCTCTGTAGTCTTTAATCATGGTTATGTTTTATGTATTCTTTTGCTGTTTGTGCTTTATAAAGGAGAATAAGAGGTCTTCTGCTAGAGCTTCCTGTTTCTTCAGAAGTTCATCTGTGTTCTGTTTCTCCCTGAAGCCTATCTTTATGGCCTACTTATAACATGAAAGTATAGTGATGCTGCCAGGAAATACTGTCCTCAATATTTTAAAATAATGTTGACATGTTTTATTCAACTCAGCAAGCTCTACGTGAGTCTCAGGACGTGAATTAAACTTGGACCTGATGGTTTACTCTAGCTCTTCTCTGAGTATCACTTAATGACTCCTGACTCAGAACAGACTCCCTCAGTGCACCGCAAAACCCTGGAAGGAGGACAACCTGGAGATTTGGCAATTTCTCTGGGTTCTTAAAGGAGGAAATTTGAACATAGTGTTTTGAAATAGCTCTAATTTTCAAATTATATCTTTAATATATAGTAATTTAACACATGTAGTATTAATGTACAAAAAGTACTCTGTATTTTATTGTCTTTTTAATTATGTGATTTAGTTTTATATAGGTATTTGCATACAATTTGATTTTAATGTTTTAAACTAATTTTGGTATTTTCCTTTTTTTAATTAAAAATGCTATTCATTAATTTTGTTTCTAATAATTTTTATAGCCAAGCACAGAGTTAAAAGTTAAAAGCCATACCACCAAAAGTACCTGTGTGTTTTTAAATAATATATATTTTTTACAGCTTAGATTCAACTCATTTCCAAAATGATGCAATAGTATTGACCATTTTTTCCAAATCAACTACCAGGACTAGGGTGTTATGGTGATAATCATTGGATTCAGTTTTGTGACAATGGATTTTTTATCCCACCCCAGGAAAGAGATGATCATGGGAGGCCTCTGGAAGGATTTCTCGAGATCTCATCAAGTGTCTGCTGATGACCTCAGCTTTGTTGCCGTCATAGCTGGGATTGTTGTCATTGCTCCCATGGCAGTCACATCATCTCTAGTACTACTCCTGGAGACCCTTGGCTGCCTACACCCGTGAAAGAGTCCTCAGTTCTTTTGCTCCTGCCTACTAATTAGTACCACTCAGAGAACAGCATGTTCATTTGACAGGATTGAATCCGGCATTGGTACGTGAAGATCCACACTGGACTTTCTTCTGTATGATCAGTGCCTTCTGCTGACACAGGAACACCTCCTCTGGGACTTACAGGTGTTTTGTTGACTGTGTTTACTTTTTGGAACTGTGTAAACCTAACCACGAATAAAAGATCTTTGCCTAAGTTTGTGATTTCTCAAATGTCTTTGTTAATCCAGGCATGAGTGGGAGTGCAGAGGGGAATGTGGAAAAGTGGAACAAGTTGGCAGCTCAGCAAACACGTTTTTAAGAGAGAACAGTTAAAAGCTAACCATCAGAAGTTGAAAATATACAAAGTTCATAAAATCATTGTTTTATATAACAGATCAGAGATGTTATTTTAGAACCTGTCCCTATACAATTTATGTCTAAAGACCACAGTTTTGAGTCTCAACTTTCCAGGACAGATACTGTCCTATTCACATTTCCTTTGCTCTTTAATAGGGATTTCCTTCTAAATGGTTATTTTCTAGCCTATGGACATTAACACCAAGGATTTATGTGTAGAATAACAGGAATGTCACTTTTACTTTTAAGCCATTTCTGATACTGCCAGAGCAGGTCTTCTGTGTAGGACTTGTACATCTTGCACCTAATTCAGAAATCCAGGCACAAAAATGCCTTTACTGAATGCCTGGGAACATACAACAATAGCATGATAGGTTACCAGTGATGCTGGTGTGGGTACATAAATGTCAGCGCTTTCTGCCTTCCTGACTTACTGAAAGCCTTTAGTGTTCCCACTTCTGTTATTTATGTATATTCCTCAAAAATTAACACAGTAGACGTTCGTAAGTATGCTTGTATTGTTTTCCATTTGTAATTATAGATGTAATTTTTAAGGATAAAACAATCAATAGATTTTCAGCAACTGTTCATAAGACACTGTGTGCCAGACATCTGGGGATGCCCCTTGTCTGTCCTATTCACCATTCTCTCCCTGCTGTCTGTGAATACCTGGCACATAGTAGGTGTTAACGTTTTATGCTCCCCAGCATTCTGCAAACGTGCCACCTACAAAATGTGTTCTCCTCCTATCCATAGAATAAAGCCAAGACTTGGTATCTGGTGCTAATTTAGTTCATGTTTTCACTTTATTTACTTATTACACCATATTTTGAGGCCAAAGTGGAGAGGGAATATTTTATAAGTGTAAAAGGGGCAAATTAACAGGAAGGCAGAACCATCCTAATTTTGAATGTGTCTGATAACCTAGCTTCAAAATACATCAAACAAAAATTGAAAGAACTTAGGGGAGAAATGGACAAAATCAGTAATACCTGTTAATGTTAACACAGTGACTTTAGTAATGTAGAGTACTAGCACACAAAGATTAATAAAGTTTATAGAACTACTACCAAACTTAGCCTAACTGATGTTTGTAGAATACTGCATTCGGCAAGAGCAGGATACAGGTTCCTTTCAAGCCCCCATGAAACATTAACCCACATAGACCACAATGGACCATATGTTAAAGGATTTAAAACTTTATTATGTAATTAAAAATTTAAAACTTTCTTACAAAGAAAACTCCAGCCCCAGATGGTTTCATCAGGGATTTTCCCCAGGCATTTAAAGATGAAATATTACATAAGGGTTTATGTTACATAAACTCCTTCAGAGCATAGCGAAAAAGGAAACATCCCCCAACTAGATTTATGAGACCAGAATTTCCCTGACACTAAAATCTGACAAATTAAAATCACAGACCGGCATCTTTCATGAACATTAAAGACAATGATCCTAAACAAGATGATACTCAGCAATATGTAGGAAATATACATAAAAGAATAGTGAATGGTGACCAAATGGGTTTGTCCCAGGGGTGCAAGCCTGGTGTAAGATTCAAAAATCAAATAATTGATCACGTTAATGGAATAAGGGAGAAAAGTTACGTAACCATTTTAATAGCTGCTGCAGAAGAAAGAGCATTTGGTAGAATTCAGCATAAATCATGCTAAAAATTCAGAAAATGAGGAAGACTAGGTAAATTCCTCAATAAAAGAGTATATACAAAAATAAAGTTCTCATAATAAAGTTTCCATGTTGAATTATTTCTCCCCTAAATCTGAGGAAAAGACAAGGATGTTAACTGTTACTATTTGTGTTCAACATCGTTTGGGAGATCCCAGTCAGGGCAAGAAGGGAAAGAAAAAGAAAAACATTTATTATAGAGTAAAATGAAGTAGAATTACATTTACTGATGGTTGATTGTATACAAAGAAAATCCTAAGTATCTAATAAATAAATATGCGCTGTTAACAAGGCTGTAAAAAATTACATTTCTACATACTGGCAACGAGCAATTCAAAAATAAAATTAGGAAAACAATGTCATTTTAAAATGGCATCCAAAATACGAAATATTATGGAGATAGATTTTAAATGTCACCACCAAAAAAAAAAAAAAACAACTTATGCAAAGGGATGGATGTGTTAATTAGCCTGGTTGTGGTAATCATTCCACAATGTATATGTACATGCCGTCATCACAATGTATGTCATGAATATGTATAATTTTTATATTTCAGCTATACATCATAAAACTGGAAACAATTATTAAATACCTAGAAGTAACATAGTCGCCAGACCTCTGCACTGAAGACTGTGTATAAAAGATTGTGAGCTATCAAAAAGGAACCAAATACAAAAGGTTTATCATCTTATGTACTGAAATACTTAGTATTGTTTGTACTACAATTATACTAAATTCATTTATAGATTCAGTTCCAATCAGAATCTCAAATTGTTTTCATGAATGTAAATATGGAAAAGTTGATTATCTGTGGAAATGCAAAGGACCTAGAATAGCCAGGCCAGTTTTGATGACGTTCAAAGATTTATACTAACAGATTTCAAGACCTACCAAAAATGTATAATTGTGCCATTGGCATGAGGATAGAAATTAGATAAACTGGACAGAACAAAGAGGCCAGGCATATATAATCACTTGATTTAGGACAAAGGCAATGCATGGAATTCATGCAGGAAATTATCTTTTCAATAAATGTAGAGAAATCAGCCATCTGTAACAATACGAAGCAGCCACTGACGGAGGCATTATAGACATCATATTGAATGAGTATGCTATAAAGCTTCGCAAGCAGCTTTCAACTGGGTGCCTTTTGGCCCCAGGAGACATTTGGCAAGGTTTTGGGTTGTCACAACTGGAGAAGAGGTGCTATTGGTATCTGACGGGTAGGCCGGAGATGCTATTAAACACCCCACAATGCACAGGGGAGTTCCCCACAACAAAGAATTATCTAGCCCCAAATGTCAATACTGCCAAGGTTGAGAAATCCTGGTCTGGAAGAGAACTAGACTAGGAGAAGATTATCTTTATGACCTGAGGTAGGCAATGAGTGACACCGGTCATAAAGAGCAGTATCCATAAATGAATTGGTTTGGTTTTATTTTTAATAAAACCATTTTTTCTATCAAAGAAAAGGAAAAGGCAATTTAGACCCGAGAAGGTAATGTGCGGTACAAACCTCTACAAGGCCTCTGTGGCAGGCAGACCCCCAGCCTCGTCCCGTGACCCCTGACTCCTGGTATTCATGCTCTTAGGTAATCCTCTCCCCTTGAGTTGGCGACTCGTGACTTATTCGTAACCAACAGGATATGGCAAAGATGGCTAGAGGCACGTGTCTGTGTGGATATGTTCCCTAAGCCATAACATTCGTGTCATGAGGAGACACTCTCCTTTGTTGGCTCTGAGGAAACAAGGAATGTTAGAAGAGCCCACATGGCAAGAAACGGTAACCTCCAGGCAACAGGCAGCAAGAAATCGAGGCTCACAAGCTGACGGCCCACAAGGAACTGAATGCCACCAACAACTGCATGAACTCGGAAGAAGATCCTTCCCTATTTGAGCCAAAAGATGAGACCACAGCCCTGGCCAACATACTGATTGCGGCACTGTGGGAGAGCCTCAAGCAGAGGGGCTAGGTGGCTGTGCCAAGACTCTTGACCTACAGAAACTGTCAGATAATAAATGTCGCTTTGCACCACTGGGTTTGTGGTGAGGCTGCTCTACAGCAGTAAGATAATAGACTCATAGCCAGGACATCTCCTGCAGATCCGAGACAAACACAACCCAATCAAAAATGTATAAAAGACGGGAAGGAGCATTTCACAAAAGAAGAAATTTAAATGGCTCAGACGTATATTTTAAGTACTCAGCATCGTTCGTATCACAGAATCACACATTCACTCAACCGGTGATATAAACCACACACCTACAATAGTGGCTAAAACTAAAAAGACTAAGGCTTCTGAGTCTTGACAAGAATGTGATAATTCCTGCAAAGAGTCGCCCAGGGTATTAAAT